CTCCTCATAGCAAATCACTTTTTGATCATAAAGACCTGAGAGCAGAGAGGCTACTAGTCCTGCTGGTTAGTATGCCTACAGATGGGACTACGTGCCCCTTGTCCCGACTTTTTCCTGATTTGGGAGTGAACATTTACGTGATGGGTCTCCCACTGCTGCTAAACCGAACGCATCTGGTCAGCAAATTAATACTTCTTTTCCCATTCAGCATCAGCAGGCAGGACTCTGCTTTATGTGCCCTGCAGAAACGCATAAAAACAGGGCTGCGAAACATTTGTTGAGGGACAGTCATGTTTACACCATTTTGGTGGATGGGCAGGGTATTTCCAAGTTCCTGTGCTTGTGCCTCTTCTGCTGAACTCGTCAGGAACACACACGCAGCCAGCCAAGAGGCAGCCGCTAAGAGAGGAGCTGCCAGGCGATGGGGAGGAGAGGCAGAAAGGAAAAAGGAAGTTTCATGTTGCAACCTTAGCACTGGGCCTCCATCTCCACGACCTTTGTAACTCAGCTTGGTCTAGAGCTCTGTGTTACCACGGAGGCAGTTTACACAGAGGCCTTTTCTTGGGACCAGGCTTTGCATCTGGCTGAGGGGTTGTGCTTTCTAAGACCACAGAGTGCACAGCTCCACCTACATTAGTGCCAGGTGTCCAGAAGCACTGAAAAACCTCCCAATAAAAAAGTTACAGCCAGATTCCATCCAGGCTCCTCAAGCTGGAGCACCCAAATCTATGTACAGGAAGCCTCCACCTCTTTAGAAATGAGGCCACTTATTTAGCATCTAAATGTGGAGCTTAGTCACTAGCTTGAAACACCCACATTAGAAAATCTTTGCCTCGCTCCACCATAACTCTGAGATCAAACTCTTTAGCTAACCACAGCATCTGGGGCTGTGTCAGAGCCATTTTGCATTTCCAGGAAGACTTTGCCTTTTCTCCAGTAACAGCCATCGACTCGCTAGCGGAGACCGTCAGGGTAATATTTATACAGCTGATTTCGGCAAAGCCACCGCCTGCTTTCCCAGAACTGCAAAACGCGCTGCTGTTGACATACAGGTGAAGGGAGGTTTCCAGATGATGGCAAAGCAGCATCCGGAGCTGCAGCAAGAGGTGCTGGCACCCACGGGGACAACATCCAGGAAAGGGGTGGGAATGGAAGGTCAACAGGAGAAGGATGCCTGGTCAAGCTCACCATGAGTTGGAGAGGGCTGGTTTCTCTGCCTCCTGCCCTCCGTGCAGCCCACACTGACGTCGGTGCAAACCCTCCTGAGGAATGGGTTTTATCCTCCCTGTGCACACAGTCAGAGCCTCGGGGAAGGTGCCCAGTGCTGGGATTGCCACACGGGGTTCAAGGCACCACGCCTGGTACAAAATGTTACTGCTCACTGGTATTTTTCTTTAGTCCCTCAGTTTGACACTAGTCAGGCTGGATAACTGAGTTGTGTGTTGAGGACTTAAATGCGCTGGGTATGGACAGAGGCAGAAAAACATATCGAACCTCTCCAAGTTGCTCAGCAGGGCTTCAGCAGGGAATGAAGACCCAGAGAGGCTACAGGAGAGCTTCCCACCAGTGCCACAGCACAGCCGTACTCCTCACTTCATCCTCACAAATCACGATCTACCTTAACACACTGAGGAATTACGACGGTGCTTGGAACAAAGAATCCCCATGGATCTACAACAATCGAGGGACTTCCTTGTTTGCACGATGAAGACTTTTCCCAGACTGATCAAATCCAAATGGGCACCGTCCGTTTGAGACCTATTCCTGTTTTATTTGCCACCACTTCCCTGTGTCAACGCCTTGTACAGGATTCGGCCTTCCACGGACTTTTCAGGAAGTGCAACTTTCATACAGAAGCCTAGGTAAGGGGTTCAAATGTCACAGCTCGTGCAGAACCTGACTGACACCTGCTTAAATCTTGAATGTAGATTGAAATGGTGATTTTTATCTACCCAGGTATCTGTAGCATCTTGAAACCTCTCCAAGTGTGTCTATGCTACGGTTACGGGTTGGGCTCAGTGCAGGATTTGAACCTAAGCTCACAAAGCAGCCAAGGACCGTGGATGCAAGGCTGGGCCTGAGCATCATCTTCAAGCAATCTCCAGAGCAGCACATGGAGAAAAGCTTCAACTTCTCAAATTAATCTCCTAGAGCTGCTAAGCAGAGCTTATTTTTACACGCATACATCTATCTGTGATTCAAAGCAAGTCCTTATTTTGCAGCTCCATTGTAAGTTTAAGTGAAAAAAATCAATTTAGAACAGATTTAATTGTAGTACAGGAACTTTTGGTCAAACACGGCTTTACTGGAAACTCAACCCAGAGTTTCCTTATAAGAGAGCCTTACTGCAGGGCTCAGTGTTGCTAACTGAGGAGAGGCTGATTATATACAATTACACAGACTGCTTATTTCTTCATTGTAAAACGTCCTCTGCTTCTTAGGGCATATACTTTGAAAATAATTATGGACAAAAAGAAAAAGATGACTTAAAATTCTTGAAAAAGGCTCAGGGCTGCATGAGGCTGTGTCAGTTCAGAGAATAACACTCTAAAAGCCTTATTCTAAGTAGCGTGAATGTCTTCTGTCCCTTTAAAATTAAAGCAAAGCCGCTAGCAGTACTTGAGAAGAAGCCTTTCGCCTCATCCACAGAGTTCAAGTTACTCCTGGGTTTTGTTTTGAAGGTCTCATTTGCAACCAAGATGGAAGAGCCGGGCCTGAACTCAGGATGTGGAACCCAAGGGAGGGAGGAAGATGAAAAGGTGTTTTTTCGCAGAGCCATGTGCTGAACAGGCAAGAAGGCAGACAACAAAAAGCCTCTGTGTAACTGCTATGAAAACAAGGACTTAGCTTCATTTTCCTGAGGCAAAGAGCGGCGGCAGATGATACGCTCAGCTCCTCTGGCAGAGGTCACCAAGCCTCAAGTGGAGCTGGTACGGAGGACAAACACCACCCTCTCTGGTCCCACTTCCCAGTCTCTGTGCAAACCTTCCCGTGCTGCTGCTGGTCTGCTGGGCAGCGGCGTCCCAGCTGGAAAGTCAACACCAGCAGCGAGCCTGAGTGGGACAACCCTGGGAAATTGCCTTCCTCAGTCTCTTACCTGACGATTCAGCCGGATGGACAGTATCTTACTGGAATAGCTATAGTTGCAGATCTCTGTCCCTTTCTTGAAGTGGTAGACGTTCATTTGCTGTGGCTTGGCATGACTGACCACAACCACAAGGCTGCTGGAGAACAGACGCTCCACGATGTAAACATCTGGGATTTCATCTGGACACAGGAGGAAAGCAAGGCAGAGTCTTTAGCTTGGGTTAGTTATTTGATTGCAGCAACAAACAGGATTAGACACAAGAGGGAATGGGGATGGAAGGCTCAGGGCTAAGGTGTTTAAGGTCTGCTTTTGTTAAAAGTTTCCCATACGTGGCACAAAGCATTTACATCAGACCAGGAAGGAGTTAATAAACCTTCTCCTGATGGTAGAATTTAAGCCAGGCCCCTCTGACATTGCTGTTATGCCTCTGCTGGGCAGGGCCCTCCAGCTGAAGCTAATCCTTGGGCCCTCCAGCTGTACTTAATCCTTGGGAAGGGGATATAAAAAGGAGGAGCTCACCCGACTGGTGGTTAGGGACTTTCTTGGGGAACAAACAAGCTGGGGCTTGCTGAGGTAAGGAACAAGCTGTGTGTTACCCAGTGTTTATTCTGTGTGGTGTCTGGTTTCTTCCAGCCTCCTGTTTAAGTTCTCTGTGTCACTGGGGCTGTGGTCTCTAGAGAGTTCTAGAACAGCTGTGGTGAATAGGGGTGTATCTCGCAGGCTGTGTTTGGGATGGCTCCTGCTGTGTTGACAAGGCACTGTTATGATGGCCCTGGTGGACTTGTACCTAAATTATTGGGGACTGTGACTTCTGGCATTGGTAGCCCTGAATGGTGCTCAGCGCTTGGGCTGTGCTGCAGGTACAAGAGCTGCTCCACAGCCACGGTGTGGGGCTGCTCATCTCTTAGTCCATCACCTTGAGCGTGCCACCCATAGAGATCTCTTTCTCTCTGGCCTCCCTCTTGGGGCAATCCGAATTCCTAAATACATTTTAATGTAAGTCAGAGACTGCGTAGCAGCTCAGTCACTCTGTGAGACAAAGAGGAAAGGAGCGTGCACTGTACTCTGGGTCATGCAGCTATGTCTGGTTGCTGAGGCTCCTCCCATAGCCAGTGGAGAAAGACGAGCATGTCCCAGCCGTGAGGCGCATCTTTAGTGCATCTCAGCTGAAACAGGCCCATGGCCTGAATCAGACTAGAGTACGTGCTCAGTGGGGCCCAACTTGTGTCAGGCTGTTAAGTGTGTTGCATGCTGCTCTGAGCACAGCTAATAACTGAAAGCCTGCTGTGAATGACCTTCTTACATGGAAAACTGTTAAAAACATCTTGCTTGTAAATACCACGTTGAACTAAAAGTCTGCAAGTTATCCAGCATCTGTGCTGGGAGTCTGCAGTCTCCTGTCTGTGTATCTGAAACACGCTAGTGGTAAACTACCTCTAAATGCTGGTTTGTGGAACAAACTGCTGCTGCCAGGCTGACAGCAGTGAAAAAGAAGCTGGACTCTAAACTTGTGTGAGTTCTTCAACTTTGTTAAAGTACTGCTGACTGCTCAGAAGCTTTCAGGAGCTGTAGCTCACTCTAAAGGCTTGCTGTGCACTGGGCAATAACCAGATCTACTCATCTCCTGATATGGATACAGCAGAAACAGATGCCATCTCTGCAACAGCAGTGAGCAGAATCAGCCCCTTGAGGCAGTGCAGTAACACAGGTGAAGTCTGTTGGCCAACAGTCCACCATAGTAAGACAGGAGACTTACTGCTTTCATGGACCTGGTCCAGTTGCTCCACAGAACTTAAAGAGAAAAGTCTGTATCCAGTTGTGGTTCCAATTGCCAGGGAGCTGAAAAGACAGGACACAAATCTGCTAGTTCTGTTCTTAAGGCCTCCAGGTAATACCAAGAGTCCCTGCAGGCAGGGGAAATGAGTAGTTCCTGGTAGAGTGAAGGCACAACTTCAGTTTCCACTCATGATCTAAAGCATATAAAGTAACACACCCAAGAGAAGAATCCAGCTTTCCATCTGAGGCTATTGCAGCCTGGGTAAGGCAAGTATCCCAGCAAGCTGTCATCTATTCACATGGTCCTGTGGCTGCTGGAGGAACAAACCAACATCTCTACCTGGGAAGCTGCAGGTAAACCCCTGGGGACATAAGAGGGGGCAGTTACCTGAGCTGGGAGCTGATCCATCTACACTGACTTGTGAGAGCTGTGAAAGCTTTGCTCTTATTGCTACGGGCAGTGGGCGCAGGCACGTAGCACTTGGCTTTACTGCACCTGGTGCTGGCTCTGATTAGTTCCAGATATAGTAAGCAGCAACAGCTAGGTCTTAGATCAGCAGCCGGCCCAGAATATCAACACACAGCGCCTGTGCTGGCGGCCACCGGCAGGCTCACGTCAGCGGCGCATCGCCACCCATCAAAGCACTCTTTGTTTAGACGCAGCCAAGGCAAAGTGGTGCTGTAAAGGTAACGATGTTTCCAGGTGTGGGACTGGTATCTGTGGTTCTTATCTTGTGATCTGGGCGGATCCTGCAGGCTGTGGCCTGGGCTGATCTCACCTCTGGGCTATGATGGCAGGCACCGCGTGTGGCTTGCTGCTTCATGGCGTTTGTTGTCCCACTTGGAAATGGTCTTTAAGAGATGGGCTTTGAAGCAGCTAAACCACAGGTTAGCAACGGTGCCGGGGCCAGAAGCTCCAAGGAAAACCCTCTGTTGGCTTGAGGTGGTGG